TATGCTTTTAAGCTTTCAAAGTGTTGTTACCATTGTCTCTTTTTTTGTTTTCCATATTCTGAGTATTTATCTATTTATATCTCAATTTATGTTTATCTACCTAGCTACCTTTATTTATTTATATATATATCCACTTATCTTTATTTATTTACACATTCATTTATTGTCATTGTAATGTGGTCCTAGGAGAGTACAGAGGGAAATTCTTATGTTTAGCATGTCCTTTTTTTCTTAAATAGAGTGTGTGTGTGTGCGTGCGTGCATGTGTATGTATACTTGAGAGAAAGAGAGAGAAAGAACCCCTAATGGGGACCAGCAGTTGACGTAAGGGGTATGTCGCTGGACTCTCATGTAGTCAACTGCAGTTCGAGTCTCGGACCCGGTGGCTTAAACTCACGCCAGGTGCCCAAGATCCTGAGAGGAGAATGGAGGAGAAGGGATTGTGGCGTGGCCATCCTCCCTCCCTGTGGGGTGATTTCTCGCTTTCTGTCTCTCTGTCTCTTTCTGTCTTTCTGGTGAGTGCATGCGCCCTGTAGCAAAAACCTCTCTAAAAACAAAAACAAAAACAAAAACAAAAAAAAAAAAGAAAAGAAAAGAAAAGGAAAACAAACAAACGAAAGAAAAAAGAGATAGAACCCCTAACAGGGTCTTGTCACACTGATTCCTTTTCTCTAGCCCTTCAACTTGTCAAGATCTTGGGTGTTCATACATATGCTCAGAGAGTTTTCAGGCTGACTCAGGGATCTGACCCTGCAGTCAGAAATGTGACTTCTAGCAGTCCAGTGGCTATGAATTGTGCCAGCTGTGCTGGGCCAGGCTTATCATCTTTAACTGCAAGTCCTTATTTGTTTTTCAGTTCTGCAATTTCTGTGATTCTTTTCCAAATCTATTATATTATTTTTATAGCTTCCAGTACCCTGCTGAAATGTTCAAGCTGCATTTTGTAAGTAAATGTATTTTTTTCCTTATAAATTGTGCCTAATAATTTCAATGTCTGGGGTTCCTGTGGACTTGTTTCTCTAAGTTTTGCTGATTATGACGTATTATATCATTAGATTGTATCATAGGTTATTTTTGATAGAGTGCTGGACATTGTGTTTTCTTTCTTTTTTTTATTTGCTAGAGGACATGTGCTCTTACTGGAGAGATACAGAAAGAGAGAGGGAGAAAGAAAAAGAAAAAGAAATCACCCCCCTTAGGGAATGGTCATGCCACAATTCTTTCTCCTCCATGTCTTCTCCCTTTTGGGATTCTGGGTACATACACATATGTGCCCATTATGTTTTTCAAATCACTTGGTCTGGGACTCAAACCACACAGTAGGCCATGTTGGATCCGGCCACCTTAGCTACCATGCCACCAGATTGCCCTGGACATTGTGTTTAAAAAATTATTTGTTAGGGGCCAGCCCTGCAGTTTGGTAGTTAAGGGAGCTGGATCCTACATGGCTGACCACAGTTTGAATCTCTATCCCTGGTGGCTGGAAAAACATGACTGATATATGTGTGTGTTGCATGTAAAAAATCCTGAAAGGACGGAGAAATGGAGAAGGGATTGTGGCATGGCATGCCTCCTTAGGGAAGAGGGTGCTCTCTCTTTCTTTTTCTGTCTCTTTCTTTTTCTGTCTCTGTCTGTCTGTCTCTGGTTAGTGCATGTGCCCTCTAAAAATTACTAAAAAAAATTATTTGTAGAAAAAAACTAGACCTAAGTTAAGGTTATTATTATACTCCAAAGAAGATTTTTTTCCCTGCCTTTCCCAGGTGTATAGGAACACCAACAACTAGGGATCATGTTAGTCTAATTAAAAACAAAATTATTTTATTTAAATTAATTTATTCATTTATTTATTTTATGCTTTTGTTTTCTATAGAGGTTTTTGCTATAGGGCATGTGTACTCACCAGGGAGACAGAGAGATAGAAAGCAAAAAATCATCTCCCCTGAGGAGGATGGCCACGCCACACTCCCTTCCCCTCCATTCTCCTCTCAGGATCTTGGGCACGCACACGCACCTGATGTGAATTTAAGCCACCAGATCTGGGACTTGAACTGCCGTCAACTACATGGAAGTTCAGCAACATAGCCATTACACTAACTACTGGTCCCCATTTATTTATTTTAATTTGACCAGAGAGGGACAGAGAGAGAGAGAAAGTGAGAAAGCAGGCTGCCAGGTCTGGGACTCAAACCGCAGTCAGCCATGTGGGAGTCTAGTGTCCTTAAGCACCATGCCACCTGCCGGCCACCATGTTAGTCTAATTTTAACTATTGATTTTTTTTTTTTGAGCCTGCACATATGCACATGGGACAGTATGTTTCTGATTTTTCTTTATTCTACAGGATCCCAGCCTACGATGAGGCTAGATTTATTAGAGATCACACCTTTGGAGACTGCTCAGTTATGTGAACAGTCTTGACTTTATGGAAGTAAGCTCCACTTCTTCATTCTCTTACAGATTAGTAAATGTCCCCTAGGCAAAAGCTTCCCCAGTTACCAGGCTTAGAGTCCTGTCTTCTCCTTGATTTAGGGTTCCTAACATCACTGGGTAGTTATTTGACATTTAAAAATCATTTCATAAAAGTATAATATACATACAAAAAGTTTATATGTGTAAGTGCCAAACATGACAAAATTTCACAAATTATCAACTAGAGAGCACCAGAAGCCCATATAATCCTCTCTCCCTCACCAGGGCATAGATTCCAGCACCATTTCCCCAATGACTCATGATACCAGTCATCTTTCATATATGTATTGGCTATTTCTATATTTTCTTTAGCTAAGTGGCTTTTAAGTGTTTGTCTAATTTTTCTATTGGGCTGTTTATCTTTTCCTTCTTAATTTGTAATAGCCTTTTTTTAATTTATTTTTTTAAAAGCTTATTCATTTATTTGAACACCTATTTATCTATTTATTTGTTGTGATTTTTAGACTGCCAGGTCCAGGACTTGACCCATGATCAGCCATATGGAACTCCAGCACCTTAACCACCATGCCACTGGCTGGCTCCTGTAATAGCCTTTATAAAGTTGTTGGATATATGTATTGTGAACATATACTCTGCATTGGGTTGCCTTTTTAGTCTTAAAGTGGTTTCATTTTATGAAAAGAGGTTGTTAATTTGAACACAGTCCATATTATTCCATTTTTCTTTCATAGTGAGTGCTTTTCTTTCTTTCTTTCTTTCTTTCTTTTTTTTTTTTTTTTTTTTATAATTTTTTTTTTTTGGGCCAGCAAG